TTCTTGGCTGAACCTGTCAGCCATATATGGGAGAACATGGATCTTGACTTATCAACAGAGTCATCAAATCTCTCAAAAATTAAGTTTTGGCTTGGGTAATATACACATATTATTTCAGACCACTGACTCGCAGTATATTATCAGAAGAGGAGAGGAGCTTGAGATCTGTTTCCTTCACACATTGGCAATGAAAAAGTCACTGCTTTTTTATGTTCTTTCACACTTCTTGAAACAAAATTTCTCTCACAGATGTTTTGTTCAGAGCTCAGCTTGATGGGAAAAGGCATATGTGGGGAACACATGAATTAGCATTTTCACATTCAGACTTGTTTACTGCCACATGCTGTGGAAAGTCTTGGCCAGAAGGTAAGGGGCTTTACCACCAGACAGTGACAAAAAGTGTGACTCTCTGTGACTATTTTCCTCTGGTTCTAGTCCTAGGAGTTTCTGCAGTTTTCTTTTCACTCCTGTACCTCTGTGTGATGAGAGGCACTCCAGGAGTGAAAGCAGCACTGGGGGGCAAGGGTTCAATGAATTCAGCCCTCAGGTCTCCCTGCTGCAGACTGGGCACTGCGAGGGAGTGTGAGGAGCACACCAATCCACTGCTTCCTTTAGGAATGGGGCCCCATAGCTGTAATCCCGAAATGAATAATCTCCTAGAGCTATGCTGTCAATGTCAGTAATGGGAATGAAATAATTTCCTGCAGGAATGGTGAGAGCTCAGTTCACCATGGCAAACCCCATCTCAGAGGTCTCTCAGCATTGCCACAGAGCATCTCAGAGCATTGCCACAGGCATCACTGGATGTGGGAGCTCAGCAAAGTTCCCACAAATCCTTTTAGGATTATCAGTCTTGTAAAGGTTATAAATCCCTGTGAGATAGCTGTGAGAATTCCGGTCCCAGATATTTGATTGAATACTTCAGCCCTGTTAAGAAAGGGAAAGGTTGCTGCTGGTTTGAGGCCCTTTCTGTGCCTGGCCCCATGAAGATGTGAAGTGTTTCTGAGGAGAAGGCAGTCAGCCACACCATGGGATTCACCACTGGCATTGACCTGAGGCGCTCTTTGTCCCTGCAATTTTTTGGCATCCCTTGCCAAAGTTGTAAAACCTCAATTTGGGAAAGGTATCACTGCATATTACCCTATTAATGTCAAATACTGGTTGTGCTACTTTAAAAAGGCACTGTAACGGGTATAGAGCAGGGCTGTGGAGCTTGTGCACTACTTTTCTCCTGCCTTTTGGACAATGATGGGCTGCTTCTGCCCAGGAGTCTAGAGCATCTAAATATCAGCAATTCCATAAAGTTCCACGCTGGGATTTGGTTTCTTCCATTAAATCCCAGTATTAACATTTGCTATCCATCATGCCGAGTTGGAAAAAGGAATTCTAACATTAAAGAACTTGAATATCTGAATTTGCATAGACAGAGCTATTAATCTCATTCTCTTTCCTTTCTTGACTTCAATCCTGCGTCAAGTTCTTTCTGAACTGATCACATTCCATATGTTATTTAAAAAGTGTTTCTTTCTCTTTTCCATCTCATCTTGCAGATGCAAAATCATGGTTTCCCCTCTAAGAAAATCTTCAATTTCTCATTTCTTATTGTATTTAAGTTCCACTGAAGTGTTTTCAGACTAAAAAAGCAGAAATTTTACAGTGACAGTAGAGCTGGAAACATTTATTTGAATCTATATTATCTAAATATTTTACTTCTGGGTTCCAAGACATGAGGAAATTGTTCTTTGTTTCTTTTCCTTGAAATCATAATTACTACATTGATAATCCCTCATTTTCAAATTCACCAATTTCCTGTTGGTAGTTTCATTTTTATCATCAGTGTCTGGCCAGTTCAATCAACTGTTCCTGTAGGCTACTTTTCTGTGTTTATGTTTATTTGTTAGTGAGGAAAATAAAAAAAAAACAAACACAAAACCACACACTAAATAATGTATCAGAAATCACAGGAGGCTGAAAAAGCCCAGTATTTCGCTTGCTCTTTTGTTAGTTTAGAAATAAAATACCAGAATAGAACTTCTCCTGTCAAACTCTATGCAATTTATTTAATAGGGTATCCTATTGCAAATAATTTCAATACATTGAAAATAAATATTAGATTTATATAAACAAGCAGGTTTAGTAACCTAAAGGGAGAGTAAGCTGAAATAATTTTATCACAGGCACAATTTAGACTTTATTTTGGTTTACTTTAGAAGATATATATTTCTAAGTTATGTTATATTAGGGATTTCTTTGCACATCATTTAACATTAAAATATAAAATAAACAAACAAGGTAATATCTTATTTAAATATTCATAAGTGGCTGACTCTGTGCCTGTGTGTACTTTCAGATCTATGCTGTTTCTCTAAGGAGATAAAAAATAATTTATTATTAGTGCATATTCTTATAATCTAAATATCACCCCAGAACAGGAAGTTTTGGCAACACAAAGTCTGTCTTGCACATTCTGCCAGGAAAAGAATTGTCAGGAGGTAATTGTTTGTTCTCTATTGTGTGTTCTTAACCTGATGAAAGGCAAGGTGACCATTTTCTCACACCTGGAATTTCATGGTTTCAAGAAGTCATCAGTAGTCTCAAATATGTCTTCTGGTGGTCACCATGTTTTCTAAAAAGGAAGTTCATAAACTAAATCAGGAGAAACTGCTCTGTCTCTTTACCCTGTTCCTGAAATGAAAATGGCAGCCCATATGCTGCTCAAGATCATCAGAAAGTAATGATCATAGAGTATTATATTTTGTATTTCTGAAAAGAGAAAATGGCTGTACTTGGGTTGTTTTTTTGGAGGGGGATATTATTTTTTAACCCAGTAGCAAAACAACTCGTCTCTCAAGGAGAATTTCATATTTTTGAAGATGAAAAACTAAGGGCTGAGAAACATCTTATTTCTTCATTTCAGAGTCAAAAAACCTACCAGAACAACTTGGAAAATTACAACATATTCAATGTTTGATCCATTCTGTTCTCAGCCTTAAAAAGAAATGATTAAAAATTCATTTTGAAGTTAGCTTTGCATGTATCCTGTAGATACAAGCCTGGTTGACAGAGTGGGTTCAGATTTGTAGACATCTTTGTACATGGAAGAATAAATAAAAAAGAGAGCTAAGAATAGATGAGAAAGTGCAAACACGTTTGTTGGGTTTTGCTGACAAACTCTCAGGAGTGACATGTAATACATTGGATTTGATGCAAACTTATCATAGAGAGGTGATTTTAAATATTCAGTGTGCTGGAATGGGGCAGTATTTCTCACTAGAGATTATCACAGATAACGTAGATTACTTTGCCTGTGTAGCTTCTTTGGAAAAGTTACTTCTGAATTTTACTGCTTCAAATACTCATAAGATGAAACCCAGAATAAGCCAAAACCTCTGCTAGCTGGCTAATGATCCATTCTTATACCTTTCCACACTACTTGCAGTGCTCTTGTGGAAATTGAAATGCCCAGGTTGATCCTTTTTAGCAGAAAATGGGTGGCAGAGGCTTGGTCACTCCTGAAAACATTTTGTCAGGGAAGAAATTCACAGTCAGACACAGAAATCCTGCCCTTTGCCAGTGTGTTCCTGCGAAGTGAGAACACTCTGATAGTGCTGCACTTCTGAGAGGCTACTGCAGCTCAGAGAACTGACTCAACATTGATTTTGAGGACTTTACATTCTCAGTTAATGGAAAAATGCCATAATTAGCAGACTTAGCAGGAGAAAAGCAATATTAACTTGAGAATGCTTTCAAGTAGCCCACTTATTTATTGTTCTTAAAAGACACCATTAAACTCCTTCATAAAGTAAGAGAATGTGCCCCATCAGAATAATATTATTCTATTACAAAACAAATTTTGGCTGTAGCATTTTCACCTTCGTCTTCTTTTTTTCCTGTGAGCTTTCTTCTGTGTAATGATGAGGATTAGTTGGGAGGGCAGAGGCTCCTCATTCAGATCAGTGTGATATAAAGTCCATGTCACTCCAAATCCAATAAAAAATGACTCAGGGTTGATGGAGAATTGCCAGTCCCATCTGGTGGTGACACTTTTTCCCTAAGTGAAGTCTTAGCTGACTGTATGTGATTTTATTTGGGATGTACCTTCTGTAATTAAGACAGAAATGACAGCATAGATGTGAGAGCATCTTCATACCTCCCTTGCTGCTCTCTACATCTCAGCCACTTTTCTTCAGCACATTTTTCTTCTCTCCTTATTCCTAAATTCAGATTTGAGCGTAGCTAAGAACTGCAGGATGTATTCCTCTTGTGTTAGGATGAGAACAGAATCACTGAAACAGTCCAGAATGCAGGAGTGAAACTGAATTATGGGAATTCACCTGGCAATTCACCTAATACTTCATCCTTTAACTTGTAGGACCTTTCTGACACAGTAGCCTCATATTCTTTAATTTCCCTTCTTTCACAGGCTGATGGTCTTGACTGTGTCAGATAGCAGAAATTAGGATGTAAGAATGGCCTGTGGCCACACAGAGGGAATGCTGCTGTGCTTCTTGTGGTGCTGTGCTTGGGAGCTGGAGGACGTTTTTGCTGGAATATCAGCTAAGCATTGCTTCAAAAGGCAAAGACAGTAAGTGAGGAGGGAGGGAAAAAAAAAAAAGAAGAAGTTTTATACACCCCTAAGAGTTAATATTTGTTTGAAAATCAGAAAAGGTGACTCAGGTCTAAAGGCCCTATCCCTGGAAAACAGTACTGGAAGGCAAATCAAGGAAAAAAAAGCTATGAATGTAAATTGGCAAATATTTGATATATGAGATTCTGGTATTGTTGTCAAAATAGCTTGATAGCTACAGTAGCCACTGTTGCTCCATGTTTTAGCTTCAGCTCATTGGAGGAAAGGTTTTAGGGAGAAAATGCCAAGGGGGTCGAAGTTGCAACATATGAAGGATAAACAAATGGGGGGTGGAGGGGCCAGGAATGAGGGACACAGGGTTATTTAACATGTGCTGACAGAACTAATATGGCATATGAAATCCACATTTCAGTACCTGTCCTGAAGCCTCTAGTTGCCATCAAGAATATACCTAGGACCTAATTTTTCTCTAGACATGCAGTGAAGACCAGAAGATGTGATTTCTCTAACAGTTCACACTGCCATAGTACTCCACTGCATTATTCATGTTTTCCTGAGACATGAAACATTTGGTGTCAGGTCCAGAACATATTTCAATTAAAAAAAAAAAGAGTATTTGGAATGAGAGGGAGAGAGAGACAAAAAAAGGACATCAGGTCTCATGCAGAACTGTCATTAGTTGTGTTGGTATAACTGGCAGTGTGACTAGAGATCTTGAATTCTTTACAGAAATAAAACCAGAGCAGTTCACTTTTTGCTTCTTTGTTGTTCTTCTGTTGTTTGGCTTTTTAAGCTGCTGCTGAAGAGCTAAGGGTGTCCTTGAACTTCCATTCCTGACTATCAGGTTAAAATTCCTCCAGATGTGAGTGTTTTTCAGACTGACACTGGGTCTTTGGCTGCCAGCATCATCCTGACAGCATTGTTTTGTGCCACATTTCTGATGTTCTCCAACTTACTACCTTTACACAACACTTCAGCACATTCTTTATTTTCCTTTCTTCCTGACAAACCTTCCAACTCCCCTTTCTCTGTAGGCTTCAAAATTTAAGGCAGCACATTGTAACCTATATGATACCTCTCCATACCTTGCCCTAACAACTGGGCTCTTGAATGATATTTATCATTAATTTGGCCATTTGATTCTTCCCTGCTGAGCAGCTGTCAAATAAAAATTCTCATTTTACTGTGCATGTCTTTGAGTTGATGCAGATATTTGAGCACTTTCAGGAAATGCTTTAGTGTATTGATTTTATTGTCCATGACATGTTTTCTTTTCGGTGGTGAAAATGCCATTCTGGGAGTAAGAGAGACCAAAACCTCTCAACTCTCCCCAGAACACCACATAAAACATTGAGCAATGCTAGTGGAAGTGTCCTCACATGAGTTCAGCCTTTCTGCTCATTCTAAATCTGAAGAGATCACTTTGACACAGGGCATTAAGCAGTTTCCTGTGGTGGTTTCTCAGTCCTTGGTCTCTGCAAATAGAGGTGAGAAATTCTGCAGCTGTGATTGTGTTTTGGAAGCTACAGACACTCTTTTTTAAGGAAATTCTGTAATTTCTCTACAGTTTTCTTTTAGGAGTACCTCACTTTCTCCACTCCATCCTAATGAATTTCATGAAAACTAATTAATGATAGAGTCTATTTTTTTTTCCAGTAATAGGAAGATATTAAAAAAGTCAAAGATAAATAATAGCTTTCTGGACTGTTGTGCTAAGGTCTGAACTGCCACCGGAGAAAGCAAAAGGAAGGTGTCCATGTTTTAGTAATGAAATTTTTGTCATTTTTTTGGTATCAAAACTAGACTGTGAGGTCTGGGATTTTTTGGTAATTCAACCAGTCCTCACTTTCTTCAGTATCTTTTGCGAATTTATTGTCAAAGTACATGGTACGCCACCAGAATACGGCATCTGCTTGGAATTTTATATTTTTATCTTCATTTTATTCCTGGGCTTAATTTTCCCAGAAAATTAGGGTAAGGTTCAATCTATGACCTTATTCTGAAGAGACATCTGTGTTTTAATACGAGTGAGGACTATTTTTTGCTCATGTTAACCAATTTGTGGTAGTGCAGTGCTTTGAAATTTGCAGGAAAGAAAGCAGAGTTTGCAATTTAGAGTAGTGATGTTAGGGATTAGCCCTTGTTGGATTTAAGTTGTTAAATCAGGTGAAGTCCACAGATCACCTGTTTTATCTCCTATTTCATTTGACTAATCTAACTCAGGTTGTTGTGTGCATGTATGGACAAGGAAGGAGAAGAAATGAAACAAGATGCAAAGGATTTTTGTGTGTCTCCTATTGAGATTGTGGTTGAAAGCTTCTTCCTAATATTCTTGCAAGAACATTTTGTCTCCAAAGCCTGGCATGCTGCACAAGCATTATACTTTAAAAAAGAAAGACTCCATATTTTAAAAAACAAAATCAAAATATATTAACTGAACTATTTTAACTTAACATGAAATTTTGAAAAAATATAGAATGTGATAGTGAAGGTACTTCTCTGCAATTTGTCATGTGATATGAGTCTGAGAAACTGAGGCTTGCTTGGTGTCTTTTCTTCTATTGCAGCTTTTCTACCTTCTCTTCTGGACTTTTTAAATAATTTTTTTTTATTTTTTTTTTTTACCAAGTCTGCATAGACAGCTTGTGAATTGAAGAGTTTAATAGTCTAAAAACAGGTCCTCCAACATCTGCAGTTGTAGTTGAAGGACAAATCAGTTCTTTTTGGAGACTGGAGGGAGCAGGGACCACCATGCTGAGCACAGGGTTGAAATGTAGGAGTATCTTCAAAAAAGCAATTGAATGGCTTCCTGAATTCCCATTCCTGCTCTTTAAGCTTGCTGTGTCACATTGAGAGCCTTTCTCCTCCATCAGTTCATTGCCATGAGAATAAATGAGCTGCCACACACTGAGTACTCTGGGCTAAATCCTGCCTCTAGATGTCTGAAATTTCATTTGTGTCAATAGAAGTTTCATCCACGTGCACATCCGTGCATTTCTGTGCTGTGGTGTGGCATTTGCTTAACATTATGGATTCAGTAGATGGAGAATGGGAGGAGCTTTAATTTTTAAGGGAAAGTCCTGTGTTAGACACCTGTAAGTAGGACATAGTTTCTACTTCTTACTTTTTAAATCACCACATGAATTAATGAAAGAAATAAATCCACAATCAAATTTATGAATCCCTATATATAAATGGATTGTTTTTACTGCAGTAAATTAGGTCAGATTTGTTTTGTGTTGCACATGCTTTTTAAAAACCCATGATGTTGCAGCTTTTTGTATTCACAACAGGCATCTGTAATACAGTAAAATGTATTAAATGCAGTATTGAGCATCAGAGGTAGCCAGGTGATTAGAGTTGGACTTTATAGAATCCAATCAGATGTTTTTGTTGACTTCATTAGAGATTTTTTTTAAATTATAGACATAGAAATAAACTGTTGCTATTTCATTATCATATTTTATGCTTCACTTCTACCACTGAAAATAAAAGGATCTATATCTACTTCCAAGAGTAAGCCTTTGAGAGAATGTGGATTTCTTCACAAGTATTAAATCTGTAAAAATATATTGTCTTTGCAACAAAGTAAAATCTCACTATCTAGACCACACAAAATAAAATCTACTATTACAACACTGTAAAAAAAATAAACTTTTCTAAAGGCTACTGGAGTTCCTGATATGAAAGCACTGTATTTGAGAAATAATAGATATCATGAAAAAGTAGATCAGTTTTAACAGAAGTAGCACTCAGTGAAAGATCAAGGGGGCTGGGGGAGACGTTGGTGACAAATTTGTTGTGACAATGCTGTAATAAGATGTTTTCATTTGTACTGTGTTCCCTCCTTCCCCTGGCTACCAGAGCATAGTGGTTTTCAGTCTGGAAATGAAAACAAACCTTTCCATGATGGATCAAAACTTGGAGAGAATATTTCTATTTGCTTTTGGGTTTTTTTAGTGTGTTTGGCTGAAAATGTCACCTACTCCAGTCTGAGAAAGTAAACTCCCCTGCACCAGACCCTGGCAGCAGACTTGTGACAAGGATGCTGAATGTGCTAAACCAACACCAAGATGATCTATAATACAAAGGTCAAAATAAACTTTACAGGGTAAATAGGAAGGATGACAAGTGCAGCTATTTCAGAAACTTTTAAAATGACTCAAAGCCTGCTGACTAAAATCAATGAGAGCCAAGACTGGGGCATCAAAGAAATGTGAAAGAAAAGTTTCTTTCTGGACGTTCTTTTGCTCATCATGCTATTACTTTTAATTTTCTCCCTCCTTTATAAGTAGGGTATGACTGTTTGTTTGTTTTTAAAGTTCTTTTGTTCTTATTCCTTAGTTCTCCTCTTAAAAAGCAACAATTTGAGAACTGAATTGCTTCCAATCCATTGGACTGAAAGAAAATATTATCTGGTTACCCTATACTTTGAGATAAAATAGATTTAGTATTGTTTTCATTTTAAACACAAAAGCTTGTTAAAGCTGTGTGAAGAAAATTGCAAACAGAAAATATTAGCAAATCCTCCTGAATAACAAGTATATCCCCCAACATTAATTTTTTTCAAGAAAAAAAGCTAAACAAATCTAATAAATTAATTGATAGCTTTAGTTACATCAATATATATTAGGGATAAACTGCCAAGAAAAAAGTTAATCAAGAAACAAACATTGCAATATTTATGCAACTATCCTCAGTATTAAAAACAAAAGGACAAACCCCAGAAAATGTGTGATGAGTAATGCAGTTATTTCTAAATGGAATTAGTTGTTATTTTAAGTTCTCTGTGTCACATCACAATGGTTTTTAGGATATGAAGTGACAGGAAGACCTGGAGGCCAGTCTCTCCCAGTGAGTGCCTGTCTGCTCCTCATGCTCTTAGTAAAGGTAGCAGGAGTTTCATCTGGGAAGTTCTTGCATAAACAGCCCTGGAGTTTTTTTGAGCTGGTTTGGTTTGAATCTATGATTTTGAAATTTTGGAGAAAATAGAGGTCGGAGAGGGTAAGATATCTCAAACCAGAAGCTCAAAATGAAAGCAACATGTCTGAAATTAGGGAAAAGAAGCATTTTCTGCACGTCTTGGCCAGTATTCCAAGGATGTACTTGAAGGACTTGGCAGTATTTTAAGTATCCATTAACACACTTCCCTTTCGGAATTACTGCCACTAAAAGGGTTCAGACTCAGGGGATGTATTCAGTGTACAGCTGCAGAAGCTGACACCAGGGCCACCACCTGAGCTCTTTTGGTGGCAGCACAGAGGTCAGCCTGTCACCTGACCTTGGTGACCTTGGTGGCCTTGTAAATACTCACCTCCAGTCTTTAAAAAGGACATTGTAGCTGAGCTGTGGCAAACAGACAGGATGGCTAAAGCCACCTGTGCCTCCCTACAGGGACACAAACAGCTCTTTCCCTGTCTTTGTCACTGTCTGCTCTCTTTCACTGAACAAGGGAGGCAGCAGGAGAGAGAGGAGCTCTGAATTGCACACTGCTGGCCTGGAGACTGCCAGGTTTGCACCTGACCCAGTGACTCAGCTATGGTGGCCATTGAATATCCTTTATCAGTCGTGTGTTCAGCTT